TTCGCCAATACATGCGTGATATCCGTCCTTCACCTACTCGACAAACTCGCAAGCCTACTCATGTACATCCCTACCTTGCTACATGTGACTATGTTTTTGTGCGCGTCGATGCGGTCAGAAAGCCCTTACAACCGCCATACGAAGGGCCTTTCAGAGTCATTTCTCGGAAAGACAAAACTTTTGTCATTGATCGTAACGGCCGCAAAGACACTGTTAGCATCGATCGACTAAAAGTTGCTTACATGCACACTCGACCAACCTCTGATGATGAGCATACTACGACCCCCTCCGTTACACAACCAAACAGTCACACGATCCCTCCTTCGACCAGTGCCACCACCAATACCACACACACACCATCACTCACAAGATCTGGTCGACAATGCAAACTTCCTGTTCGTTTCAAAGACTAACTGTCGTGACGCATTTCCTTTTCGAGCGTCTTGCTCACCCATTTGACGATCTAGGGAGGGAGTTCTGTAGCACTTGTAAACTGCTCTTTTTCATGCTCAGTATCATCTTTTTTCCCATCATTATCAGTCACATCGCTGTACAAAAGTTTGTTTTACCGAAATACAACCGCTACCCCGCGCGTTGGCTCCAACGTGACTTTGAGACTTCTGCTGAGTGACTGTTGTTGTTACCGCCGGTTAGCTATATCTGACCGCTGTTAATACTAAACGTGAACAAACATTTCAGCTACAAACGCTGGACTAATATATTCGCGCTTGTGGAATAATATTTCGATCACCGGAGATCTGGGATACCAGGAAGATAGAACTATTCTTTGTGTGGTGGTTCAACGGAATACGGAACTACGGAATCTCCTATTTTTAACTGTGAGTCAAGATTTACTTGTATTTTTCTCTTTGTGACTTTGTATCTGGCTTACACCAGTAATTTGTTCAGTTCACTAGAGACTCCATAGGGCCGTTAACCACTACATAAAGCCTTATAAATTTGCTACTTTTGAAATAACCTCCCAAAGTAAACTTGCTCCTAAAGGTTTTGTGTCTAGAGGCATGTAATTATTTTATCTAATATTAGTGGGAGATCACGGGGCAAACCTTATTGTCTGTGGGGATTTTAATTACAAATAAATTATGTTTAAATGCATATTTTGTATTCCCTAAGGCGTGACAATTTGGGTTCTTAATAATTTTCACTCCAAACTCATACAATTTGTTACACGTTGTATTGAATTTCTACCATTTGACATTTGCGGAATCCAAGATATTTGCAGGCGTTTGAGTAAAGTAAGCTATCTGACTCGCTGCTGGGTATTCACACAATGGGATTGATTTCTCGAAAACTACGACATTTTCAGACTTGACACTTAATAGTGTAGAATGTCTGTGTATATTGTATATGGTCCTGTATTATTGAAAAGCATTTACTATGGCGATTTGTTTAAGTGAGTGAATGCTCAAGGTCAGTGAACACCACCGACCGTGAATAGGTTGCCTGACCATAAAAATTGCGAATTGTGGAAAACGTTGGCTCACTTACGATTAACGTAACTTTCAGGTATCTTTCTACCGAAAAATTTTCCTGAAAATTCTAGAAGATGCAAAATATGCTCAAGTGCATTCGTGCAAGGAAATTTTAGTCGATGATTCCTGTTGCCAATTAATATTCCGTAGCCCGCATTAATTATTTGCTACGAGTCGTGCACGTTTGCTGGCAAAAAGCAGTTTTCCATTATAGGTCGCGAATTATGCTAGAAAGACCCCGAGGTTTATCGATAAGGAACATGAAACATACGTTGGTCATACGGGACATCTGAACGAACCTAACCGACGCCCACGACTGCCATGCGGCTAGGTGTACATGATGACTAACTAACTGGCCACATAGAACCTGCGTCAATCATACCGGACAGCTGAACGAACCTAACCGAAGCACACGACAAACATGCTTCTAGGGGAAGACGACGCACACCCATACATCTGTAACGAAGAAAAGGCTCCAAATGCACGTCTTCAAATGTGGAGTTGTACTGGTCGTTTTGAAGTTTACATATGACCTTCTGGGAGGCGCATTTTTTCTACGTGAAAAGTGCTCATCTGGTCGTTGAAGTCCCGAAACGAGGGAAAGATATAATTCAGGTTATCGAAACATCACCATACGGCGCGCGGCCAAAAAAATGGTGGGGATACTTACCCGAAAATTCACTCCAGCGACTATGTTGTCGTAGATACCTGTTCACACAATGATAATAATAACGTTTATTCCCAACTTGTGGGTGGCTTACGGTCAGGCTTGATCATGAGTTTACTGTAAGAATGAAGCATGACTATGGGGATTTGTGGAGGTGCGGATCGCACGAAAACAGGACAGCGTCATAAACAATGGGGAATATACGATGAGATAACAATATTTGTGGAGGGATCGCACGAAAACAGGACAGCGTCATAAACAATGGGGAATATACGATGAGATAACAATAAAAGGTTTTTTCCCAACTTGCAAGGAACAATGTGTATGAGGTCCGACCAGTTCAAACACATAGCCGGCTGACATGAACTAAAAATGAAAACCATTTCTGGCCATGAGTGACCTTGGGCTGTTGGGCAAATGGCCGGAGGCACAACGAGCGAAAAATGGGGATGTAGGTGGAATAATTCAAATTAGGAGCATATGGCGAGTTTTGTCTTAAAAACGTGGAAGATTATTGTTGAAGATTATTCAACTAAGCAGACTCACTGGTTGCACTGTTGTAGGAAATTCAGGTACAGGAGATAGATTGGGTGGGGACGAGATTATAATATATAGGTCAAACCGAACACAGTATATGGATTTGAACTTGTGGGAGAGGCAAACCGAAATTTAGCTGAAGAACCAGGCTGGCCAAATTTAAAGGAAAATTAATCGGGTACAAAAGAGCTCGTCTTAGAGACGGGTTCAGGTGAGAGAAACTTTGCTCAAAGTTGAAACCAGAGGCTTGGGTGGGCGAGGGGTTGCGGTCGAGATTCTGAAGATAATGATTGCGGAGTGCCATCTCACTGGGTATGGCAGTGCCATGCCAAAATTGCACTGACATGCCTTGGTTTGTGGACAGCCCCGTAACGGTCGTCAAGGGTGTCGCGATCGGATCTATGGCAGCTGGTTCTGGGTGAGACAGAGAGAGTCGGGCGGATGCAGGAACACGGATGGCTTCTCTTTTGTTAGAGGACCGTATAAGCGTGGACCGGGGATAAGCTAGTTTGAGTGAAAAAACAGTCCCACAGGACGATTGGGCAATTGCAGGCGAGGTTTGAAGCTTGAGAAGATGGGCGACGTGAAAGAAATAGAGTGAAAGCAGTAGCGGGTGGCTAGTGTCAGGAGGCACAAAATACAACGTTGTCAAGGGGAAAAAATCTAAAAGGGGTTAACAGCAAGCCAAACGGACCCAGGAAAAGAGGATACGTTTGCTGATCCAGAAACCAAGTACTAGTTGGGCCAGGGTAGGTGCCAAGTTTTAGGGAGGTGAGAACGTTGTCGTCGAGGTAGCTAGCAAAGAGGCTATCTGTTGAACTAGTCGTGAAAGGGCGGTAGTTTTTGGTTTATCAAATCATCATGATATATTGTCCCTATTGTGCACAAAGAGGGATTAATGTAAGCAGTGACAGTAGCTAAGTAAAAACAAGACAAGCAACAGCTCCTTAGATGAGTGGTAAGAATCGTAGCTTAACTGAAATCTACGTCAACCTAACAAGAAGGTAAGATTAAGGATCACCGGTCGCCGAGTCACTGCTGTCAACTCAGGAAAACGAGTGATGCATAGCAAAAGTGCTAGCTGTGATGCCTGTAGTCAGGAAATGATAAGTTAATAGCATTTTGTGCATATGATTGCTCTAGATGACGAGAGGGAAGAACGTGTGTGCTATGTTTAAATGATGAAGCAGACTTGGGGTGGGGTGACCCAACTAAGACCAAGGTGGCAACTCCCTGCACTTCGACTTTAGTCGTGAGCCCCACACAGTACCCTCAAGCTGCCCCATGCATGTTTTTCATACATATTTTTTAGAACAAACGGAAGGACAACTGTCATTCGCTTGCATTTCTTGGTGTTGCAAGACAAGTGACATCCGGAACAAATCCAATCTATCTACAAACAAACAGCAACGCTACTCTTTTTTGGTTTTTCTGAATTAAAGGTGGGGCTCAGAACCACCGGCGATGAACGATACACCCGTGCTACTGGGGGAGGGGTGGCGAGTTTACGAACGCACCATGGTGCAACGTAACAGGGTGGCTCTCCCTGCAGGGCACACCCGTCCACAACGCCAGGTTTACATCCCTCGTCCATGCTACCAGATCTGCTGGGTGAAAAGCCACCAAGCAGTCATAATTGCGGTTTGTGCATTGATAAATAACTCTAGCTACCAGATATTTTTATCCGGACGGGGGTGGGAAGCCATGCCAGTAAAAGAGCGCAGGCATTTCGGACAAAAAAGCAGCAAGCAGCCACGGAAGAGGCAAGTCGCGGAGGGAAATGAAACATCAATTACCTTTTGGGCTATGGGAGTAGAATGGAGATGTTCAGAGCCTGTGTACTATGGCTAAACAAAGACGAAGCGTTGATGTAAACCACCTTGTCAAGTAGAGGCGCATCAATGTTATATATGTGTGTGAATGAGTGGGCTGTGGAGCGAAACAATTATTTCTTTCATAGGGCATCTTCAGACCAACCATTTGATATGCGTGCACTGCACTGTTCTGGGGTTTTAGAATGGTTTAGAACAGCGAGGAACTTAGGCTTCAGTTTGGCTGAGGTTAGTTAAATCCAGTCAAAGCACAGGACCAGACATTATACAGAGCCGACGGAGTTACTCAGAAATGGGATCAGGCTTGAAGAACTAGGAACTATTTGCCTGTGTACAAAAGGCCCGGAAGGAAATACGAGCAGGTCAGTGGAGAGTGGCTTGACAACAGTTACGATGGCAGGCGCTGGACATTCTGCAAATCAACTACGCTTCAGGGAGCGGGAGATGTAGCCGCAGGAAGTGGACGTCTGCATGAGTGATATATTAAGTGGTAAGTTATAAAAAAGAACACTTGGGTGGGTGGTTGCCTTTCGAAAGCCTACGTGAGGTGAGATAATACGCATATGGGAGGGGAGCTTGTTCCATAGTTTGGAATACAGGCAAAGGAAAAAGTGTTGTCTAAAGACAGTTCGACATGTCGACAATGGGAGTAAACATCTAGAGTTACGGATATTATAGGGAGTACAGGAAGAAAATTCAGGGCAGCAGTCAGCTATGTAAGCCCACCAATAGGTTAGGCGATGTGGAAGGCCTAGATTCAACTTGATGCGCCTTAGCCATGATAGATCCAGCCCAAGTGACAAGCAGCGAAGACCATACAGTAGTGAAGATGACACCAGAAACAGGGATTTAGTAAACCATCACTGCACATTCTCCACAGAAGTCTGGCACGCCTTCGAATACTGTGAGGCGAATTCAGGGCTGAATTCAAGAACGGAGCTTATAAATTGTTTAAAGATGGCAATTAAACATGATTTATTATGGAGGGATTGGCGAATGAAAGCGCAGAGCTTACGAGTATTAGCCACTCAGTATCTAGCATGTTGGTTGAAGCTTTATGAACAGAAAAACCTAAGGCCTAGGTCTCTCACTTCTGGAAGAGTAGGAATCGTGGGCCAATGAAGAGTAAGCGTACCAGGAGGAATTCGGAATCGATGTGACAGGACTTGGCATTTTGGAACAGCGAAAGAAAGGCAAGATTTTGAGGACCAGAGTGATAAAGGATTCAGGTAGGACTGACTGTTAGCAATAGTAGAGACAGAGTCATTGGCCTTAAACGTGTAAGCTACCAGAGTGAGATTCAGGTAGGACTGACTGTTAGCAATAGTAGAGACAGAGTCATTGGCCTTAAACGTGTAAGCTATCTTAATGTCATCACATCAGCCGTTTGCTGATCCAGAAACCAAGTACTAGTTGGGCCAGGGTAGGTGCCAAGTTTTAGGGAGGTGAGAACGTTGTCGTCGAGGTAGCTAGCAAAGAGGCTATCTGTTGAACTAGTGGTGAAAGGGCGGTAGTTTTTGGTTTATCAAATCATCATGATATATTGTCCCTATTGTGCACAAAGAGGGATTAATGTAAGCAGTGACAGTAGCTAAGTAAAAACAAGACAAGCAACAGCTCCTTAGATGAGTGGTAAGAATCGTAGCTTAACTGAAATCTACGTCAACCTAACAAGAAGGTAAGATTAAGGATCACCGGTCGCCGAGTCACTGCTGTCAACTCAGGAAAACGAGTGATGCATAGCAAAAGTGCTAGCTGTGATGCCTGTAGTCAGGAAATGATAAGTTAATAGCATTTTGTGCATATGATTGCTCTAGATGACGAGAGGGAAGAACGTGTGTGCTATGTTTAAATGATGAAGCAGACTTGGGGTGGGGTGACCCAACTAAGACCAAGGTGGCAACTCCCTGCACTTCGACTTTAGTCGTGAGCCCCACACAGTACCCTCAAGCTGCCCCATGCATGTTTTTCATACATATTTTTTGGAACAAACGGAAGGACAACTGTCATTCGCTTGCATTTCTTGGTGTTGCAAGACAAGTGACATCCGGAACAAATCCAATCTATCTACAAACAAACAGCAACGCTACTCTTCTTTGGTTTTTCTGAATTAAAGGTGGGGCTCAGAACCACCGGCGATGAACGATACACCCGTGCTACTGGGGGAGGGGTGGCGAGTTTACGAACGCACCATGGTGCAACGTAACAGGGTGGCTCTCCCTGCAGGGCACACCCGTCCACAACGCCAGGTTTACATCCCTCGTCCATGCTACCAGATCTGCTGGGTGAAAAGCCACCAAGCAGTCATAATTGCGGTTTGTGCATTGATAAATAACTCTAGCTACCAGATATTTTTATCCGGACGGGGGTGGGAAGCCATGCCAGTAAAAGAGCGCAGGCATTTCGGACAAAAAAGCAGCAAGCAGCCACGGAAGAGGCAAGTCGCGGAGGGAAATGAAACATCAATTACCTTTTGGGCTATGGGAGTAGAATGGAGATGTTCAGAGCCTGTGTACTATGGCTAAACAAAGACGAAGCGTTGATGTAAACCACCTTGTCAAGTAGAGGCGCATCAATGTTATATATGTGTGTGAATGAGTGGGCTGTGGAGCGAAACAATTATTTCTTTCATAGGGCATCTTCAGACCAACCATTTGATATGCGTGCACTGCACTGTTCTGGGGTTTTAGAATGGTTTAGAACAGCGAGGAACTTAGGCTTCAGTTTGGCTGAGGTTAGTTAAATCCAGTCAAAGCACAGGACCAGACATTATACAGAGCCGACGGAGTTACTCAGAAATGGGATCAGGCTTGAAGAACTAGGAACTATTTGCCTGTGTACAAAAGGCCCGGAAGGAAATACGAGCAGGTCAGTGGAGAGTGGCTTGACAACAGTTACGATGGCAGGCGCTGGACATTCTGCAAATCAACTACGCTTCAGGGAGCGGGAGATGTAGCCGCAGGAAGTGGACGTCTGCATGAGTGATATATTAAGTGGTAAGTTATAAAAAAGAACACTTGGGTGGGTGGTTGCCTTTCGAAAGCCTACGTGAGGTGAGATAATACGCATATGGGAGGGGAGCTTGTTCCATAGTTTGGAATACAGGCAAAGGAAAAAGTGTTGTCTAAAGACAGTTCGACATGTCGACAATGGGAGTAAACATCTAGAGTTACGGATATTATAGGGAGTACAGGAAGAAAATTCAGGGCAGCAGTCAGCTATGTAAGCCCACCAATAGGTTAGGCGATGTGGAAGGCCTAGATTCAACTTGATGCGCCTTAGCCATGATAGATCCAGCCCAAGTGACAAGCAGCGAAGACCATACAGTAGTGAAGATGACACCAGAAACAGGGATTTAGTAAACCATCACTGCACATTCTCCACAGAAGTCTGGCACGCCTTCGAATACTGTGAGGCGAATTCAGGGCTGAATTCAAGAACGGAGCTTATAAATTGTTTAAAGATGGCAATTAAACATGATTTATTATGGAGGGATTGGCGAATGAAAGCGCAGAGCTTACGAGTATTAGCCACTCAGTATCTAGCATGTTGGTTGAAGCTTTATGAACAGAAAAACCTAAGGCCTAGGTCTCTCACTTCTGGAAGAGTAGGAATCGTGGGCCAATGAAGAGTAAGCGTACCAGGAGGAATTCGGAATCGATGTGACAGGACTTGGCATTTTGGAACAGCGAAAGAAAGGCAAGATTTTGAGGACCAGAGTGATAAAGGATTCAGGTAGGACTGACTGTTAGCAATAGTAGAGACAGAGTCATTGGCCTTAAACGTGTAAGCTATCTTAATGTCATCAGCAAACAGAAATGGGGATCCATGGGTGATCGAATCGGTGACGTTATCAATGTACAGTAAGAACAGTAGATTACCAAGCACACTACCCTGAATAGCTCTGCTGGTAATGGGAAGGCTGAGGAGGAGAGATCCCCGATTTTGGTGGCCTGAGTTCTTCCTGTGAGTTAGGAAATGAACCATCGCAGTGGTAGGCCACCAATCCCCGTAGATCGTAGTTTGTTGAGGAGTGCACCATAGGAACTTGGTCGAAGGCTTGCGAATATCCAGATAGATAAGAATAATACACAGTCCGGTATGGTAGGCGGATAAAATATGATTAAAGAAGTCAACCTGGCATGCGTTGGTTGACCGCCGTGCCATAAAACCATACTGCCGAAAGTTAAGTGTTCTGGTGGTGTGCAGGTAGTTCACCACAGGGACTTTGATAAATCGCTCAAGAGTACGAACGAGTAAGCAGGTCTGGTGAATGCCACGATAGCTGGCTAGAGCAGTTCGTGGACCCGACTTATAGTGCGGAACAACGGTGGAGTGCTTTCACTTACTAGGGACTGTGCCAGTGATAAGGGGGATATTGAAGAGATTAAGGATGAGGGTGGGGACGTACGGGCCACCAGCTTTTAAGATAAGCGAGGGGATGCCGTCAGTGCCTGGGAAACTGGAATCTCTAAGGCGGGCGAGAGACGCAGTTACGTCAGACAGAGTAACTGAGTGTGTGCAGAGATTGGGGCTTGTCTCGTCAGCAGATGTGTTCACTTCGTAACCAGGTGGGAAGCAATGAGTAGATAAAGTCGATTCGGAGGAAACATAGCAGCTAGCGAAGTAAGAGATTAGGGATTCCACAATGTCAGCAGGGTCAGACAGAGGCTCCCCATCAGCAGCCACAAAATTTGAAACTGCGGATGAGTTTGAGAAGCAACGCCGGTGAAAGAGGTATCCCAGGATCTTAGGCTGTAGAAAACGGTCTACGTCGGTTGATTCCACGCGTTTATCAAGGGCGAGTTTGGCCGTGGTATTATCACGTCATAAGTTTGTTGATTACAGTAAGGAGGGAGAGATCATGGAACTCAAAGAAGAGCCGACGATACTTCCTAAGTTTATGGCGTATAGCGGGTAATCGTGTGGCTGGATGGTAACGAGAAGCATAGGAAGCTCGTGTGGGAGCAGCTAGATATGACGATGGTGGTAGGCTGCCTTAAAAGATGTCGACCGCGCTTTGCGTGTCACCAGAGAGAACGAACTCGTCCCAGGTCTTATGACGCAATGAGATTGCAAAGGCCTCAAGAATCCCCGGGGATAGGATGAAAGAGATTAAGGCGGGAAGAGTAGGAGAAGGTAGAGTACTCGTCCAGATGCAAGTGACGATACAATGGTCGCTTTAAAGAATCTTCGGACTAACTGCCGCGGTAGGACACAGGTAGCCGTTGACAAGAGCAATGTCCAGGGTGTGGGCACCGCGTGTTGGTTGCCTTACAAGCTGGGACCAGCCTTCAACTCTAAGTTGGGCAAGAAGGAGCGAAAAGCGCACAGGAGAGTGTTATTGAGACCAGGCAATCTCAGGACGGTTGAGATCTCCAACACTTAGTTTGTTGGGTGAGGTAGAGCCTGAGTGTGAGAAAGAAGCGTGGATAGACGAGTAATCGAGCTAGTGGGGTGTGGAGGGGGCATTTACAAACACCCGAGGAT